CAGCTAGCTCCTTATTATTTTAGTTCTGTTTCATTATTTCTTCCTCTCAAATGTCTTTCTCAGTCACCTGGTCCCTAGCAACCATGAGGTCTTTCAGATTCAGCAGATCACTCATCACCACCTGACTTTGTGGTTTAATTCTTAATTTACTTATTTTCTGACTAGGCTAAAGTGCAAGCTCCATGAAAGCTGTGCCTGCTATTGTCAGTGCCTGATACATGGCAGGTATTTGATCCATTGTTAACAAATACTTTAGCAACCAAAGTGTATTTTTAATTAAAAAATTCATCTTTGGAAGATGGCTGTGATGGTTAAGGTGGAGAGTAACTATGACTGGACTTGGGAGCCCCTGGGGTATTGATGGAGCACACTTCTGCGTGTGTCTGGGTGGGTCTTGGAGGTGTGATGTGGGGTTTATATCTAGTCCCTCACTTCTTCTCTGCACTGCTCCCATGCTCTGCATCCTGGTCACCGTGAGCTAACACGCCCACCACACCTTCCACCATGATGGTTGTGGACTGAAGCCATCTCACAATGGCCTGAATTCCCTTAAAGTATAAGGCAAATTAAGCCTCTCTTCCTTTACACTGTGGTTGTCAGGTATTGCGTCCAGGAAAAGCTAAAATACTGACTGATCAGACCAAGGACGTTGAAAAAGGACAAGTTGTTTTGTTAGTTTTTTTCCACTTCAAAATAAAAAAAATTATACCATCAAGGAAAACTCTTGTTACTTTTAGCAATTTTGCTCTTTGTTTTAGCTAACATTGCCCTGTTTATTTTCTTTACCATAGCTTTCATATCTACTAATTTCACTATGTATTGCTTCACTTAAAATCTCTCTGCCCATAAGAAATATGGAAGTCCTTTAAGATGAGTGATTTTGTCTGTTTCCCTCTGACTGCACAACCTTGAATAGAAACTTGAATAGAGACATTCATGAGTAGTTGTTGAAAGAGTGAAGACAAGATATAATTGAAGGTGACTCAAGTCCTCTCAATTTATAATGAGGAGGTAAACATATATTCTTACTTAGAAAAATTGGGCAAAATGTTTTAAGTAAGTGCTTTTGATCATTTGATTATAGATTTCTTTATATGTTCTCATAACTTCAATCCTCTGATTTTTTGGGCAAGTCATTGCAAACATTTTGCTTTCATTTTGTTTGCTTTGATTTTTTGGGTAGAAGTTTAGGCAGACTCTATGTAGTTCAGGCTGGCCTCGAACTCACCACAGTCCTCTTGCCTCAGCCTCCCTAGTGCTGAGACTATAGGCATGCACCACCATGTCTGGCATTTTGCCTTAGATTTTGATCCCTAAAATATGAAAATTAAAGGAAATAAACAAACCAATTAAAATTATCTTATCTTTTCAGAGCAAGCTCAACTTGAGAGTTCAGTAATTACCAGCAACTGATTATCATTCAGGGATAAATAAGCACATAGGAAAAGTAAGAATGGTGGGAGAAAAAAAATCAGAGGGGCAATTTTGTGCTGCTTAGAATAAGACTTCTCTTGCTTTGTCTATTTTTTTTTTTCATAAAATCCCTAAAGTCTAGGGAAATAAAGCAAAGTTGAGATGCTTATAAGTCTAAGGAGAAATTAATAAAATGCAGTGGGGAAATTAAGTAGAACAAAAGTGCAATGAGCCATAGTTAAACCAATTAATTAAACAGATATTGATATGTATATAACTGGGTTGCTGAAGAATTAAAAATAAATCTGAGATTTTAAATCAGTGCTTGGTATTCAACAAAATACTCAACAATAATCTGCAGAACACTTGTACTTTCTAAAGCAGTTTCTAGGATGATTCCTCCCATTTTTCTTACGAATCATCACCTTTCTTTTGTCTGCTAATTGTAAAGAATCTGAACTCTCAAAACTATGCAGAAGTCTTAGGAATACTGTGACTCTTTTCTACATTCTTCTTATGCTAATTTTCAAACTATGTAACTTGCTTGCAACACCAATTATGAAAAGATTTTTTTTGTAGTATGCTTGCCACCTTCCAAAAAGCAATGAAGATTCAATTACTTAATGCACCAGCAACCTAGCAATTTTGAAGTACAAAAGGTGAGCTGGCCATCAAGACCAAAAGCTAGCAATCACCCTCATCTACATTCAGTTCTAAGCTTATTACTTCAGAGGCTTGAAATCTTGTACAAATCATTTAGCTCTAATCAACCTTCGTTTTCTCATTGCAAAATTGCTGTTAAATGTAACATTCTAAAATTCCTCCACACAATGTCTGGCTGAGAAATCCCTTAACTGAATGAATGTGGTAACATATCGAACTTGTGAATATGTTTTGATTTCCAAAATTGTTTATTTGAAAGTTCCAGCAGGTATTTCCACCAAAAATAAATATTAGAAGAAGTGGTTAGTAGTTGAAAAGTTTCTAGATGAATCTATAAAACCTTCATTTACTAGAACATTGTTTTCATCAAGAATTATCCTAATGGGTGTCTCAGTTACTTTTCTCATTGCTAAGACAAAATACCTGACACCCAAAGTTAAATGACAAAAGGTTTCTTTTAGCTCACAGTTTGTAGAGGGTTCAGCCCACTATGAGTTGACTCAGAGACAGGCCAGCATGGTGCAAGAGAGGCAGTTCAGCAGCAGGAACTCATGGCAGGGTGACATGGTGCAAGAGAGACAGTTCATGGCAGATCAGGCAGGAAACAGCAGCAGTGAAGCGAGCCTCCCTTTCCCTTTTATTCTGTCCAGGGTTTTACAAGCCTTTTGTGTGGTTCCACCCACACCCAGGGTGGCCCTTCCCTTTATCCACACCCAGAATTATACTAAACCAATTTAGATGTCTCACACCCTTAATCCCAGTATCACATAGGGAGATCCAGCCACCCCTAAAAAGCCCTACCTATGTTCCCATAAGCCTCTGGGGAGACATCTACACATAAGTCACACTAGTGGTACTCTGGCCAGGATGTTCAACTGGTGGTGATTTTTTCTTCTTTTTTCTTTTTTTTCCTGGAATTTCCTGCCTTTAGCTGGGAAAGTCACTTATCCTGGGAAGTCTTCAGTCTCAGAAAAATGTAATCCCAGTTCCTTCTGCTTGGAACCTTGTGATTTCATTATTTCCCCATTTTTCCTCAGTACTAGGTACATTTTAGCTTGTGGAGATATAAACACAAATCATTCATGGTCCTTGTCTTGAACCAACCTAGAGCCTCTGGGAGAGATAAATAAAGAGGTTTCTGCAAGCCCTACTGGAGATGAAAGTTTTCCTGGGATGGTGAGCACTGAATTTGACCTGGAAGTAGTTTGAGCAAGGGCCTTCCACTTAATTGTTTTGGACAATTTTCATTTCAGAGCTCAATATTCCTTACATTTATATATTAAAATGCCATCTCTTCAGATTCCTGCTGGTTATATCAAATCAGATTTTGGAAAACTTCTCATACTTATGTAATCCTTAGGAAATCTTAGCAAAATATAAATCTAAACAACCAGCAACTTCTGATTTCATAACAGTTCCTCTCACTCTGGATATAAAACTATGTTAAGATCTACTTTGGAAAATGCTAACTGCCTGGTTGCTTTTTCATTATTTGAAAATCATCTCCCAAAGGAAACTACTGGAACATGTTAAATTGAAAGCAAAACTGAGGTTAGCATGAATAATTTTGTTCTAGCCACAATATTGTAGTGGTTGCCCTAAAGTTAGCAAGTTAAAAATGTTTCCCAGGGCTGTGAATGTAGCTCAGTTGGAAGAGAGATTACTTAGCATGCATGAGGTCCAGGGTACAATCATTAAAACAATGGGAAATTTTTCATCCTAAAGCTTGTTATCAAATAATTGGCATTTTATTTTTTAGCCTTCAGTAACTTCTGATGTATTCCTGAACATGACTTTAGCATGCAGCAGATGCCACAGCCAGTAGAGAATAGCAGCATGACTGTTTATTGTCCAGGGAAACACATGCATGACTAAGCACTCAGATTCAGTTTTCTACCTAGCAAAGGAAGCTGACTCTTCACAGACTTGGAAGATGAGAAGGGGACTTATTCCCAGACAACCTGCGCTTTGATAGGGGGCAAGGACAACGTCAACATTGTTTACTGTTATATTCTGAACACCTGGGACATAACTGATGTACAAAATGATTGAACAAATAACAAAATGCATTTACAAGTCTTCATTTTGAATTTCAAATGAGACCAGAGCAGTTTTAGAGCCTATGTAGGTGTTTCCTGAATCCACTAAGGCTAGGCTTCCCTTTTCAGGAGCCAAGCAGGTAGTGGGTTAGCTGGTTCCTCCTCTGCCATAGCTCACTTTGCATTAATTTCTATGAGTGTTTGATGGAACTGTGCCCCTTCTTCACTGTGAGTACCAGCAATCTACTCTCCTACATCTCCTATATTACTTGGGACCAACAACTGCCTGTACTACTTATGAAAATCAGCAAACCTTTGTGACACTGCAAATTATGCAGTTTAAGTGCCAAAGTCAACTAGAATGTGAGACTAACATCACACTAACATCAAACTGTGTGTTTACGTGAAGGTCAGATAGTGTCAACCTTTGATAACTACGATGATCTTGACTAATAACCTTAGCTATTATGCAGGAATTTACTAAGCATGTAGATGAGATTATTAAAATCCATCTTGCTACTGAAAAGATACCACATTCCAAGTTTTCTCTACAATATGGATAAAAATAATCAATTTAGATTTAGCAACTATAGCATGGAAAGCTTTACTGAGACTTGTAAATGTACAACAGATGAAGGTCTTATATACTATGAGGATTCTTAGTCATTTTGAGCTCTCAGATAATGACCTTATTGAATGTGAGGATCCTTGGTCATTTTCAGTTCTCAGACAAAAGAGTATACTAAAATTTCAATTTCTGAACATCTTTTACCATTTGGGTCAGATATGGTGTTAATATACAGATAACCAACATGCTTGACACACATTTAAATTTAAAGACAACATATTTTTGCAAATTGTGAACTTGTTTTATTATTATTTTACCTTTGAAGTTTACTACACCAGCTGCAGTTGAAGCCAATCTGAGAGGACACACAAGGGCCACAACTGTTGAACTGGAGACAAGCTAGGAAATAGGATAGAACATACTCATCAACACTAATTAATAGCGTGGGGGAGAAAAGACCACTCAACCAAAATAAAAATCACCATCCATCTTTATACACACAATGGATCAAAATATTTATGCATGTCAAACACAATTATAATTACATAATTAACAGAATAATTATCAACATAATTATTGAACAAATCAGATCACCAAACTTTCAAATCACATTTTCTATTTAACTATGTGCATATATTAACTTACTAGGTAATGGGGTCATCTCCACAGCAGAAATGTTGGTAATTTTTGACATCTGTAGCTCTACTCGGTGGTATTCATAAATTGTTCTTCTTCGAACATCTATAGTAATAAAAGCAGAAAGAAATTAACTTCCAACAATTTCCCATTTACAAAACAGTAGCATTTTGATACCATTTTCTCAAACTAAAGCTCAAGTTTTAAGGAATGCATGGTAATTAAGATTTTTCAGTCTAGCCAGGTGTGGTAGTTCACATTTGTAATCCCAGCACTTGGTAGGCTGAGGCAGGAGAATCACTGTGAATTCCAGGCCAGCGTTAACTAGAAAGTGAGTTCAAGGTCACCCTGAACTGCATAGTGAAACCCTGTCTCAAAAAGAAAAAAAAATTTCACAGTCTAACATTAGTCAAAATGATAACAACAATAATAATATCATTGATTTAAAGGTTTAGAATAAATTTTTAATAATGCATAAAACAGGATATTTTATTTTTATGCATCATATTAACTATAATTAACAACACTGAATAATTCTCAAAATTGGAAGAGAACAGATTTTAAGTGGTCTTGGCACAAATACATACACACAAGTGATATTTAGGTGATTAACAGGATTTTGATAATTATTTCACAGTGTACATACACATCCAATCACTGTGTCATATATCTTACAAATACATAATTTTCACTTGATGGTTGTATCTCAGTAAAGCTTGAGAAATGATAGAACTTTAAATCACTTTAAAATCAGTATTGCTATGTAAAAATATATAGTATATCTAAATAAAGTTAATAATTGTCATTTGTATTACATAAAATAATTTATAATAGTTGATCAGCAAATCCATCAAAGTCCCTGAGAAGAAGCTTAGATGGAGACTTGGTAAGAACTTTAATAACTACAAATCACACAAATAAAAGCAAATGTATTTTAAATTAAAACAAAACAAATATATTTAAAATCCCCATTTTAAACCTTACTAAGGAGCTTGTATAGGTCTGGTGGGCATAATGGAAAAGTAGTGTTATCAGTATCTTATTTCACTTTTGGAATTCTTGCAAGGATAGTGATGCATTTCCTAAATAATATGTCTACCAGGAAATGTTTGAGAGGCTGTACATTATTTAAAAATATCACAGTGTCCAATCTTATTTTAGAGGAAATTTAATTTGTATTGGTCAAAGGACTCTTTGTCTAAATAGGATGAGTTCCTCATATATTACTCTCCCAAATATTTTGCTGAACTATTCAGTTTTCAGAAGTAATACTTTATATGGTTTTACCATAAGATCACAAGGGTTGGAATTAGGGGGTGTTCCTGCTAAAGTTTGTACAGAGTCCATCTGGTGTTTAATATATTAGTATTATTTTCATTTCATGTCACATTTTGAAAAATCTCAACTAATGACAGTGGCTGGGAAGCCTCAGGGAGCTCATTATTGACTGTGCATATGGAATGAAAGGATAGAGGGATGATTTTTTCTATGCCAGCTCAATTACCTGCTCAAAACCTCCAACTATTGGGAGGAGATGATTTAACAGAACCAAATTAATGAGAGTGCTTTTTGTTTGATAACCTGCCAATCAATGGCAGCTTCCAAATGGTCATTTCTGTAGTATTTCAGAGACACTGCTGTCAAAAACAAGTCATTAGCAAGTTTTTCACTCATTGGTCCTGCCAATGCTAAAAGCTTTCATTTGATTCCAGAAATGTATTTAGTTTAAGTGTCTTCTTTAAAGAATTAAGCCAAAATAATGTCAAACCAAATGTTGAGTCTTGGTGCTGGCAATCCAAATTGAACTAGTCTATTCCAACTTCACAAAATCAAGATTTACTCTGCAATGTTTATTCTTGAAGGACTCTGACAAATAAAAAATAAATCTGAGCAGATTACTGCATAGAGAAAATATAGTTCAATTATCAAAGTCTTAAGGTGATCTGATTCAGCATGTAAATTGCACAAACTGTATTGCACATTTAAGGATGTCTGACAACTATCTGTAGAAGGGACAGAGTGATCTCATAAAAGCACCATAAATCCTCTCCAACTCACATCTACCCTAATTGAAAGGAACACACACCACTGCCATGTGGCATGATCTGGTTTATTTGCCTGTTTTGAAAGCTAACATTTACACAGAGAAAATATGATTTCCTAAATTGGCCTATTCTCATCTTTATCTAAATATTTCAATATTTTGTCCAGATTGTGAAATAAATGATCTGTTAATATTTCTTGTTTGTGTTGCCAGTGGTAAATGAATAGCCCCAAATATTTATATCTTCTTTCTTTTCTAGTTCAAATTGAACCCAATACGTGAGACCATGAACTGAGTATTCCTTAACGTAATTTGCATAATTTGCCCAACTTTAACGTTCGCTTGCCACATGAAGGCGCAGGAAAAAGACTCTTGAAGTAAAAGGACACTAATGCAGCAGTTTCAAACTTCCCACACAAAAATGCAGCGCAATAACAGAATTAGATACTGGGAGTTGTTGAGTGAAGTATCTAAAAAAAAAAAAAAATGTATTACCCTCAGTTTTTCCAATTCCCTCTGTAGTTCTAATTCTATTAAGGAATAATGTAATTAAGCCTCAGATTAAGCAACATACACCTTAGCTGCCTGTGAAGTGCTAACCTAAACCTCTTAGGCTTTCCTCTCATCATTCCTTGACTGCTTATAAATCTTAGCAGATCTTTAAAATCTAAATGTTCACGTGTTGACCATATATGAGGGAATCAGGAACATGGCTGAAACAAGCCTCATATCTCTCTTTCTTCAACATTTTATTAGTGGTTTAAACAAGATCCACTTCCTGACTTCCATTGGTAATCACCCTATCCCAGAAGAGAAGCAAACCAGTACTGAACAGACAGGCCATTGTAGGGTCACAGTGGGCCGGATGGCACACAGACTGCAGATATGAAAGTAACATCATGGCTCCATTGGCGCCAGGGGGACAAAAGTCTCTGCTTTTGAGACACATGCAAAAGTTGTGAAATGTGCATTTGTGATGTCATTAAATTTTATGCCATGTCATTAAATCTCTTGTAACTGAATATATTTTTTCCGGAGAGAAAAGGAAATTGTGACTTCATTAACTGACATTTGGTGAAATGCATTAAGAGTTTCCTCATTCGAAAATCAAATGTTCATACATACACAAAAATTAGTGCTAAATGACTATACTCTATTTACAAAAAAGCAAAACTCCTTGTGAGAAAATTCATCTGAAAATATTAGCCTGCAGGCAGGTTTATAAATGTATGCAAGCAGTAGCATTAAAAATAGAAATATTCTCTGTTGAGTCGGAAAGTTTAAGTCAAAATAGAAATATACATTATGTAATGGGTAAAAAGTAAGGAATTACTAAGGTAAGGGTAAGTATAAATTTGAAGTCTGAAGGCAAATATGAAAGGAAAATGGAAAATTTAACATCGGACGTCATATTTTAAAGTAAAGGCAGATAAAACTGGACAGACAAATGTAGCTTAGATTATTGTTGAGAATTGTCCTGACTAGTTCCCTGAGCCTTTTGTAGGACGGAAACCACACAGCAGACATTTATAAGGATGAGCTTTTCATCCACTGGCTGTTCTTTCCTTAAGCCAATTCATCCTACACTACTAGGTAGCCAATAAATATGTGCTGAATGAATGAATGTATAAATGTTTTGAATTTTTAACAATAAAGCCCTTTCTATGACTGTAAGGTTTTGCACTAGAAGTAGAAATTCAAGCTTTATTAAATGGGTTGAAAGACAGCCCTGGGTTGGTAAAGACTTGTTTATCAGAGAATGTGACATCAGATGAAATGTCAGTGAATGACTGAAGAAATGAATGAATTCGATTTAGTTAAAGGAAACAGCTTAACCACAAATTCCTGAAGGAACGCTTTCCTGTTCATAGAAACTCTAAGCAAATAGAAATTCTCAAATATGTCAAAATTGATAATCAGTGATTTTTAGTAACTGGAAAATGTGAGGTTTTTACTTTGTTTTAAAAATCAAACCAGGGCCAACCAAATAGCATATGACAGAAATGTATGAATTAAAACAAGAAAATATCATTTACACAGTACGTTTTAATAATGTTATTTTATAAATGAAGCCATGATTTCTACTTATTTCTTCTTTTGCTAAGCCACTTATAAGCTAGTGTATACCTGAGAATCTAAGCAATTAATGAAAGTGAGCTGTAAGGGAAGCCGTGCTGTCTTGTATAAAATGAATAACTTTGAAGGGCTTTCCATTCAGGAAAGCTGAGGTAAGATGACACCGTTTACTGAGGATCTACAGACTGAGCTAACCTTCAATGAATGAAAAGGCTGATAACCCTGAAAATAAAGAATGAGGCTCAGTTCCTCTGTAAATGGCATAAAATAGATTCAATAGATTACAGGTGTAGTGGTGCACACCTATAACTCCAGCAGTCTGGGAGGTTGAAACAGGAAGATGATAATTTAGCAGAACCCTGTGTGAAAAAAAAAATTTTTTTTGGTTTTGTTTTTCTTTTCCACTACCGGGAATTGAACTCATGACCTTGCGCTTGCCAGGCAGGCACTATGCCGCTGAGTTAAATCCCCAGTCCCCTGAAAAAATACTTTTAAAAATTTAAGAAAAAGTTGAGGATGTAGTTCTGAATTCGACCTGGGTCTAATTCCTAGTACCACAAAAAAGTGCGTTTGGCTGGGGCTATAGCTCAGTGTGAAGGTTCTGAGTTAAATCCCCAGTAATCAAAAACAATAGTGAAGAGAAAATATTGACTGTTTATATTTACCATAGTCTTTATCACATTTTAACTTCACTTTTTATTACAATTGATAAGTTAGTATAATTGATGTATCTTACCACAGGATTTTTTCCTATGGGGAACATCAGTTATAATGATTATAACTGAAAATTCATATTTCAAAAATACACTGAAAACCATATTATTTAAACACATCTAATATCTTAATGCCATGTAAAAGGCAAAGAAATAAAAACAATGTCTGTAAATATAACAGTTGACATTCAGCATTTTATTTAATTATGCATATGACATTGTTTCCCTGTCCAATATGGCAGCCACTAGTCATATGTGGCACTTTAACCTAC